TACACCTTTTGAAACGCAGTAACATTTTTCAAACTGAACCAAGTGATTTGAATTTTTTTTTTAGACGACAGAGTGAATAGTCTACTGGACGATGATCAAAATGTAAATGCGATTTTTGCCATCTTTAATTTGTTGTAACACGTAACATCGTCAACCGATATAAACAAAATTTAATTTTTAACATTTTTTAAACTTCCGTTATAGGCTTGGATAAAGAAGATAAGAAACGGGAGCTTTTTATTTTTCTCTTTAATTCCAAGCACATAATAGCGACATTTAAGAAATGCATTTTGTTTATCGTCTAGTAGACTAGTCGCGTTATTGTCTAAAAAAAATTCAAGTCGCTTAGTCCAATTCGAGGGTAACTGTATGTCTCGAAAAATCCTGCTGCAAAGGACCCAATTTTTATTTTTAACCCTCAGAGTACGGTCACCACTGCACAGTAACAGAGTCTTTCGAGACCCCCATCCCCGTTCCACCACTAACACACGCGGCTTCGTCACCGTCGATAAAATAAGAAGGTCTCCAGAGACCCCGTTACCGGAACGCGAGGTTTAAGGAGAGGCGATAATAATAGTACAATTCAACAATACACAATTTATATAGAACACATTTATTCTGCCTCTTTACAATTTCTGTAAAAAATGTTATCGCGAGTTTCTAACTGATATTTGTAAAGCATAATTATTAATTAGATGTTACAACCCCCTCTTTGGGCAATGTTGTCCCTTGCATCGATTAATCCACCGTGTATTGATTTATTATGTTCCAATGATCCTTCATGATAGCTTCATTCGGATACCGTTTCTCTCGCTGTTAAATATTACTTATTCCAGTACGATTCTTATAAAGGGTGGACCATCTGTTAGTTTCTTCAATATTCTTATTTTTAATTAATTATAGAAAAATATAATTTTAATTATAGAAAAATTTAATTTTAATTATAGAAAAATATTCAAACCGTTCAATATTCTTTAAAGTTTTTGGTTTATTAAAACGAGTGAGCCTACCGATTAATCATAAAAACGGTACTTTTCTTATAGGAATTTTAAGAAGAAGCCAATAGGTGATTCAACTTTTAATAAACATTATTAAAACCACGAAAATAATAGAACATAGATAGAATATTATAATAGATAAAATAAAAATGGAGCTAGACTGAAATTATATTCATGGAGACAGTAACAAAATATAACATAATACTGCTTAAATAAAAAAAATGCATACATTTGAAACGGTACTTCGTAGTTAATTACTTGCCTTTTATTGGTTCGCTCAAATCACCTAACAATAGAGATAAAAAGACTTGAATAATTAAGCTGTTTTTTAAGTCAGTTGTATATGAATGCGCAAAAATTATGAAACACCAGAAAAAGCTTTTAATATTTTTCAACGAGCAAGAACATACAATTTTTGAGCGCACAAGCTCGAGTTTCATAATTCTTCGTTGTAAATAAAGCGAGGGGCCAAAGATTTCCAATTGGGCGTTTCGAACGCGGCTCGAATATTTCTGAAATGAAATCGCAGAAAACGTCACAGAAGAGGGAAAATGGCAATCGCTACCCACTCGCGTGTGCATTGCTTCTCGTCTTGCCCTGCTCGACGAAGGGTTGCGATGATCTTTTGTTCTTCGTCATCGGCTCGCAATAATTGGCCACGCTCGGGGACTTTAATCGCCGTTTTAATCGTACAGGGGAAAGTGTTTTGTTACACGCCGTGCGGAATTTTAATGGCCCTATCGTGAAGTGCGAAAATAATCCTCTGCGAGGTTCTTCATTTCAGCGGGGCTCCCTTCATTTCGGCGAAAGGCAGAAAAATACGAAGCTCCGTTAATTAATACAATCAGTTTTTAATTTTCGTCGCGCCGAGCGGTCTTTGTGCGCCCGTATTATATTGCGTACCACTCGGTTTCTTTTATTAACTGTCCAGAGATTCAGCGGGAAGGGCGTAAACAAAGAAGACAATCATTTTTGTAACAGCGAAATTGTAAATGCAATTCACTTGATTAATGTAAATAAATCCGTAAACAATTCGTTATATTTCTATAATTTTCTTACTGCTTGCACTAATTTCAAGACATCATTTTTTACATAAAGATGATTTTTACATCATTTTTTACACAACAACGTACGGTGGTCGGTTTCGACTGAAATTATATATTTAAGTCTACCTTTTTATTATTATTATTATTATTATTTATATTTTTTGCACCTTATGTACTAGTACATATATTTGGGTTTTTGTTGCGATCCAATAATGAAAGCGAAATGCAGTGTTTTAATTGTTTATAAAGAAATTTTCTAAAAATACAACTTTTGTTTTCGATTAAATTAAGTTAAATTGAACATCCTCGCCATTTTCATGTTGCGAACATTGTTTCGAAACCATAGTTCGATTTTTTTTAATGGAGCAGTGTGATAAAAGGGTGTGCGATGCTTTTAGTTGACAGCTAATTTTATGCATTTATGATAAAAATGATTGAGGATATTGTTGCATTATTTCATATTAATTACAATTATTGAAAGGGTAAAGACATTTTCATCTAATTTATATTTCTTACAATTAACTCCGTTAATTAATACAATCAGTTTTTAATTTTCGTCGCGCCGAGCGGTCTTTGTGCGCCCGTATTATATTGCGTACCACTCGGTTTCTTTTATTAACTGTCCAGAGATTCAGCTGGAAGGGCGTAAACAAAGAAGACAATCATTTTTGTAACAGCGAGAAATTGTAAATGCAATTCACTTGATTAATGTAAATAAATCCGTAAACAATCGGCGACGTTAAATTAGATTTTGGTGATTAGTTAGACAGCGGATCTTTGTGCAGAGCGAAAATGTTCCGTATGAATTCCATATAACGTGCGTTAAATGAAAAAGTATCCCTATTTTTAATAGTCTGCGTGATTTGAAAGTGANAGAGCGAAAATGTTCCGTATGAATTCCATATAACGTGCGTTAAATGAAAAAGTATCCCTATTTTTAATAGTCTGCGTGATTTGAAAGTGATATAATAATATTCTTAAATTCGTATTACTTTCGATCACAAATGGCTATTTTTTAAAAAAGTAATTACGGTGTATATTGAAACTTTTCAAGAAGTGCTATAAGAACTTACATGCACTCAAAAATTTCAACAGTTTCGTGTTCTGTCTTCTGCTACATTGAATTATTTTATGCAACAATGATATTATTGCCGTTAAATTTTCCAGCCTGTAATACATATTGAACTAATCCCACGTAATCACATTTTCTACAATTAATTAACAACTCCTTTATGAAATGTTTCCAATTGATTATTCAATTAATTATATTTTTATTATAAGCTTTTACACTAGTCTTCTAAATTGCTCAACTTTTAATCAGGAATAAGATTACCTACGTGAAATATTTATGGCTTAGCTCTTTTTTAGAATTACTTTAATATGACAATTTGATGAAATAGATTTCATGGAAATAATGAGCGCGCATACTTTTTAATCTGTCTGAATTATTTGTAGAAAGTAAACTAAATCCTTTCAAGTAGTCATCGTGAGCAATTGAGATTTGTATTTAATGATTTCGGATTTTATGTCATGTATACTCGTCGTGAAAAGAAGATTCTTTTTGTTATACGGCGAGTATTCTCTACGATTTCAATAATAACACAATTTTACAATAAACGTTTATGACAAAAATACGATTGTAAAAAGGAACATTTTGTCATCTTTTTATAATTTATTTCGATATTGCTGCGAAGTTACTCTTCTACTGGGCTTCGTCCGCTCATTGGTCAGTGTTTTTTCGTTAATAACTCGTAAACAAAGCCACGGATTGTATTTGCGCTAAGGAAAAAGTTACTTCAAATGATCCGAAGAACCCTTCATTTCTCGATTGAAACACCCTGTATATAATACAGCAGAACCTCGATTATCCGGCCCTCCAATATCAGAATCCTTGATTGCTCAAATACGTTTAACATGCAGTTAGTTGAATCTAAAACGATTTACTGTACGAATCAATAAAAGTTAAAACTGTCACTGTATGCAAGTAACCGTTCTATTATCCGAACAACTATGTAACTCTACTTATTCCGAATAATCGTGGCTCCACTGTACCAGCAATTCGACAAAACGATAAAATACACTTTTCAGAAAATCGAAAAAAACACAACACGTAAATGTAGAAACAAATTAACGTTCTTTTTGTTGAATTATCGTCGTGGTGCTGGTGCAGGGATCGAAGGGGTGGGAACTACCCTGTAAATTAAACAAAAAAAAAGAAAAAAGGAAATGGTTTGCACAATTTCGTAGAGTCAGTAAAACAGTTTCACGATGAAAAGAAGCATTGAAATTTGTTCGGGGGCTGTTTTCATCCCTTTGATTCGCGTATCAGAGCACCACCAAAAAAAGAAATACGGTCGTGCCCAGCATAACTCGGCTCTACTTGTGTGCAACGTTTCATAATTTTTGGCATTCACGGGCTCGCGAGCGAATTTGTCTAGTCAGCATCAGAAAATCGGAAGCGCGTTCAATTAAAACCGGCGAATAATTTGCCGGAGAGCAACGAGAGAACACCGCGACGCCCCCTGGCTAATCCGAAGACGGGACAACCTGTCGAGCGGTTCCGATCGATGTTTTTCGCATTGGAAGTGTATCGGGCCGGCGATCGGCAGAGGAGATTGGGAACGCAGGAAGTTCGGCTGCGTTCGTACGCGAGGTAACCGAAGCAGATTCGAGATTTTACGATCGGATTCCCGTGGACGGGACGAGCGAGCGAGCGAGCGAGCGAACGAACGAACGAACGAACGCACCCCCTCGTCGTCGATGTCGAGGCCGGCATACAGCCGGGGTATGTGTCGGCGGACAATATTTGCGAATATACAACGAGGCATCGGTAGATCGGACTGGTGCCGGTCAGATAGCCATCTATCCGAGCGCGAATGGTGTTGCGTTCGAGCGTGTCCGGGTACGTACACGATGGAGGCGGGTTGACACCGTTGCGATGTGGTCATTGTTTCAGTACCCCCGGATATCCTGGACTACCCTACCAGCACGGACATGGTCGTGCAGGAGGGGAGCAACGTGACGTTACGGTGCGCCGTGACCGGCACCCCGCAGCCGACGGTCACGTGGCGTCGTGAAGCCGGCGGCACGATCACCTTGTCAAACTGGCACGAGGGTACGTACTCGTCGAATCACCTGGAACACCTTCGAGACGGACACTGGCTCTCGTGCCCGTGCTCATGCTATTTTTATTTTCGCCGAACGTTGCCTGAGGCAGCACCTCCGTCGACCAGCCACCGCCAACCGCCTCTCCCGACTTTCTTCACCTGCTTAACCCCCCGCTCATCCGCATTCTCATCCCCCACCGACGCCCCATAGCCACCCCTGCAACATCGTTTCACCTACATTGCCACTTTCCTCCATGCGAACTGCATACCTTACGAGGCTGTCCTGCCGGAGAATAAAGCCGTGACGGACCGGTCGGGCTCGAGCTTTCCTATCTTCTTTGATTGCGCGACATCTTTATTGCGTAGCTAGACGCCGGGGAGAGTGTTGACACCGTGTCACCTCCTTCGCCTGTCGCGCTGTTTTCTTTGTTCGTCTCGCACGGTTTTCTTTGTTCGTTTCGCACGGTTTTCTTTGTTCGTCTCGCACGGTTTTCTTATTCGGGAAAATGAATGTCGCGACGCGCTGCGGGCAGAATCGACGGGAATTTCGTGCAGTTCGCGATATTCGTGTGGGCGTGTAGCAGGTGTTTAAACGTTGGGCTAAATTCGTTGGGTCACGGAGGTATCGACTTCGACGGCGCGTGATTTTGGGCCGATTCGAATTCTTGAGCACCAATTCTCTTTTACGTGTTCTCGAAACCACTTCGTTCTGATCAATTTGGTACTTTTTACCGTACTTAAGTAAATACAAAAATTGTTTGTTTAAAAAAGTTGCACGACGGGAACAGCTTTTTCGCAACGGGGTTCTAGAACATAAGAAACTGCACAATTTATCCCCGACGAGTTTTGTCATATCTCTTAGCATTGCGAAGTTATGCAGAAAAAAAAACGAAAATTGCAAAAATTTTTAGGGTTGATTTCATTCCCTTAAAGTTGAATTTAGCACCAAAAACGATAGTTTTGTGATACTAGGGACCTACACTACTTGCGTACCAAGCTTCCTAAATGAGCTTTCTTGCTCACTTTTTCATCAGCAATAATCTTATAAAATCGAAAATACAGAATGCCATTTAAAACAGTCAAGATGAGCTTGATTTTTAGTAGAAAAAACAATAGTGTTTGAAATTTCTTTTTCAACATGTAGCCGACTCAATAACTAGCGACAGTTATTTGTCACAACCTGTATAAGTTACTATAAATGGAATTCAATTGGCAAATGTTCAACATTAAATTAAATTACGACGAAACGGTTGCTTTGGGATATATGATTCCTTTTGCAAATTGGCTCCTCTCGATGAGGTCATTTTTGCAGAAACTTTTTTACACCTTCTGTCTCCATCGATCGAAAGTTGTAGAATATGTCTACGACAGCCACGACATAACCTTTTTTTACAGCCTATACATATACTAAAATGTTATGACTACGTAGGAGACTATTGTTAAAAACAAATGCTAACAGCGAACCTTTGTGGTTCTATGTCGAACCAGATTGAACATCGGCTTTTGCACTGACAGTTATTTATGTTGCTGATTTGTATTATATTCATGAATAATGCCACAGTTACGTGGTATGTGACAACAATTGTAATATTTCTCAGCTGTTCCAAATAGTTTGTAAAGTCACTCATGAGTATATGATTTAATTATATATTATCGTAGTAATTCTGAAATGACAAGAAGGAAACACCTTAAACCGCATGGAGATAATGCAACTAACTAATGCACTAGCACCTCAATTATCCAAATCTCCAATGTCTGAATTCGTCATGATCTAAACACGTATCACGTGGAATTAGATCGATCTGAGGCGATCGATCCGCAGCACTGTTTACTGGACACATTAATGAAAACGTAATCTAGCAATGTAACTGTGAACAACTATGCTACTATTCGAGCATTCGTGTTTCCTTGTTTAATTCGGATAACCGAGGTTTCACTGTCATTTAAATCGGCCGCAGAAAAATTCAAATTTCAATGAAATGTTCATGGGATAAAATTGACCGCAAAAGATTCGTCAACGAAACGTTGCATCGCGACGCCGCGTTGATTAATAGGATTAATAGGATTAATAGGACATCGAAGACTATAATTGATACACATAGTGAGGACGACTTTTTCGGTAGTACAAGAACAGAGAAGACAAGATTTATCATAGAAATTGTTTTTGTAACCTTCCCACAGTTCGTAGATCCTAACAAAGTTTGATTTACTCGACTGATTTTAATAAACATTAATTTACAAGCTTGCTCAAAAAATGATATCGGTCGACAGGAAATAAATTCGATGACTATGGGCGGATGGCTTAGACGTTGGAGCAATAGATTTATTTAGATTCGGTCGATCGAGGTTACAATATTAATCGTTTCTTCTAAATCGAATGAAAATTGTCAAAACCTGGTCAAAGTGAATTGATCAATTATAAATTTGATATAAAACATTATATCAGTCGTTATTACTCGTTGCGAAACAAATTTAACCTAGACTTCGGGTTCTTATGCAGAACAAAAATTTGATCCGCCTCTGACAATCATATCAATGAGTTCTAAATAACAGACAATGAAATTGTTCAATTCTCGAAGTAGCGTCACTGCATAAAATCCGCGATCTAATTCGAACGAACAAGTCGCGCGTGTCGGCGCAGAACGCAGTTTCAATCGAGCAATTCGTGCCAATTAGAAACTTAATTGTCGCGAGATGAATAATGGAAAGTTAAATAAGCCGATAGCGCAGCGGGAGCCGGCGATACGTTAATGCCAATAATAGAACCATGATAAACGAGAAAACAGCTCGTCGACGCCGTCAACCCTTCCAGGTAACGAGCTGACTACCCAGCAAGGCTGAGGCTCTCGTGTTCTTCCCTCGAACGTATTAATCTCCCGTAGAAGCCAGCCTGTCAATTAAGCTTCGTTACTTAGATCCCCGATTAATGCTTCGATACTTCAATTATATAAACGAACTGTTGTGGCGTGAGCCGCGGGAGAACCGCAGGATGCTGGTCTCTTCGTGAATTCGGAAATCGATAGGTCTGCAGCGGCCGCGGATAACGCATCCTAGTGTGGCCGGGTCGACCGGATCGACGAGGAGAGTGCGGCTCTGTTTTTGACCAGTCAAAGCCTTCTCCGTTTTCTGTGCCCTTTTACCCCTTAATTACCATTCCTGGCACTTGGTCGAATTACTCGGTCGCCTCTCCTTCGGCCGCTCTTTGCCCGGTTTCTCCGATCCTAGTCCTTTCCCGCAGCCGTCGCGTCGCGCGCCGCGCCCTCTTGTTCACTCCGCTCCGTGACTAATTGCACGCGGAAGTGCAGGGGACGTTTCGAATTGTACCGTGTGTGGGTGCGTAAGCGGAAGGGTTCGTCCTGCTGATGTCGCTCCCCGTTCCATCCCCCTTTCGCCCGACAACCTTCCGAATTCCGCCAGCTTCTCTAGTCTTCTATGGTTTTCTTCGGCCTCGGCGTCGAGCGAACTTCCCTACCTCAGACGTAACTACTTTCGTTGATCGTGTCCGGCAATCCTATCTTCCTCGGTCGCAATTACATTTTAGACGATATTCGTGATCACCAGTTGGTTAATAGTCATTTGGCATATTGGTAATTGTTATCACCTTTCGCTCGCANTCCGGCAATCCTATCTTCCTCGGTCGCAATTACATTTTAGACGATATTCGTGATCACCAGTTGGTTAATAGTCATTTGGCATATTGGTAATTGTTATCACCTTTCGCTCGCATTTCCTCAGGGATCGTTGTATTTCTATAATTTTCTTACTGCTTGCACTAATTTCAAGACATCATTTTTTACGTAAAGATGATTTTTACATCATTTTTTACACAACAACGTACGGTGGTCGGTTTCGACTGAAATTATATATTTAAGTCTACCTTTTTATTATTATTATTATTATTTATATTTTTTGCACCTTATGTACTAGTACATATATTTGGGTTTTTGTTGCGATCCAATAATGAAAGCGAAATGCAGTGTTTTAATTGTTTATAAAGAAATTTTCTAAAAATACAACTTTTGTTTTCGATTAAATTAAGTTAAATTGAATATCCTCGCCATTTTCACGTTGCGAACATTGTTTCGAAACCATAGGGTGTGCGATGCTTTTAGTTGACAGCTAATTTTATGCATTTATGATAAAAATGATTGAGGATATTGTTGCATTATTTCATATTAATTACAATTATTGAAAGGGAAAAGACATTTTCATCTAATTTATATTCCTTACAATTAACTTCAACAATTTTTATTTGACGTAAGCATCCACGGTTTAGTAATTTAGTAATGTTTCAATTTCTAGTTTGTTTGTTTCATTTTTCCCTGAACATGTTTTTTCCAATTGAATTTGCTATCAAAAATCGGCGAATAACTTATTCAGAAATCGCTACCATTTTTTTCAGACATTAAATGAGTCTAATTTCTAAGAACGAATACCAGATGCTGTTTCACTTCATACATCATGAATTTTATTGCATTCGCAAAAACATATTGATGCAGTGCTACATTTCACTAAAATTATTATTTTGTCGTATCTCATCTACCACGGAATGATATAAACCCGTCTCTAAACTTTTGCCGTGGAATTATGAAGTATACGAGAGAAGCTTCATTTCAAAAACTTGGTTTGCTATAGTAAAATATTATATAAAGCTGAAAGAACATGCAAAAATTCGTAGAAGCTGTCAAAGTAGGGAGACCGTTCAAGATCCGATGTATTAGCCTACGAAGCAATTTTCCTCTTCCTTTTCTTTTCTTTTAGATTACGACGTTCGAGGAACGAAGGAAAACGGATTTCTCCCTTAAAAAGAATTTTTCTGTTGGAATAACCATCCTGAGTTCGGCGGACAGTGACATTCGAAATGAAAGGAACTTAATCGCGTTGCATGCTTTTGATCCGCAGAACTGTTGATCGTCTCGATTGTGACGCAGACGACCGAGAACGAAGAATTTGCAACAGAAATGGAACGTTAATTTTAACGAGAGATTTACGGAAATCTGGATCGTCTAAATGTAAATCGCTTGGAAAAATTTTCACGAACAAGATATCTTCATCGAACTATCAATTTAATGAAAATTGCGATAATGCAATTATTGGAAATTTGGGAATGTTTTGTTAATGCACCATCGATTTATGAATTACCAATTACATGCCAATTTAAATCAATAAATTTTCCTAAAAATACACATTCTAAAAATATAATTTTATGTTTAACTGGATAGAGCATATTAAAATTTAAGGGTTTCCTGAATCATTGTTAATCTGTCGTCAAAAAAGTGTGTCAAAGCAAAGGAAAATATGTACTGTGGTATGAATAATTATAGACGCAAAGTAACTTTTACGTTTTTAGTGATATTTAAACAGAAACTTAACAAAACATTATACTTGTATATTTCTGTATTGGAAATAATATTATAGAAAATAGAAAAATGGAAATATAGTTATTTTTCGCTTTTATTTAAATATCGGCAAAAATGTAGAAGTTGCTTCGAGTTTATAATTATTCGCAGCACCAAAGGTGGCCATCTTTAGCAGAAACGACCTGTAAAATATCATGTTCGTATAATTCTATATTAGAAAGAATTGGACTGCGAAAATGCTTAGAAAGAATTAGACTGCAAAATAAAAATTGCAAGAATTATAAATTAAACAATAACTTTGACATTTTGGCTAGAAATATTAGAAAATAAAAATATGTATACAAACATGATATTTTGTTAAGCTTCCCTTTAGATATCGGTGATAATGTAAAAGTTACTCTGTGTTTATAATTATGCACACCACGTTTGTATAAATCATGCAAACCACAATTGGATAAAGCGTAACAATTTTTAGACTGAATTTCTATTTCATGAAATATACGAACAGCGTGAGTCAAACTAATTCGGAATGTCCACATGATACGTCGCGAATGCTTCTAGTTCCGCATTGAATAACATTTGTATACGAAATATTTGGAAAAATGTTGCAACAGGAAATTACCGAGCTACCGAATTATCTTTCGCTGAAACGTCTTTTTCCACCGGCGCGGTCGAAGCAAGTGTAAAACCAAGGCGAAAGGACTTTCCGCGAATAGAAATGAATTTCCGGTGATTTATTCAGCGGATGAATCTTTTATCGTCTGTGCTCGGTTTTGAGGAATCGTTTTAAGCATTTGTCGCCGGTTCTTTTATTCTCTTCGCTCGGCCCCCCGCCGCCCCCCGCCCTCGCCGGCGAAACGGGAAGGTTCGATCGCGATTCCATTAGGCGATAAGTAGAGTGAAAATAAAATATTTCGTCAGTCGTTGTACATCGTTCCTTTTCCTCTTCCGTCGACTCTCGTTTCCGCCATTCTACAGCCCACGCGTGTGAAGTGGTGAGCCTCGATCGACAAAAATGAAGAGCACAAACCGGCCCGACGAAAGTTCCTATCGGTAATTTCAGAACGGTTAGAGACAATGCTCCCGTAATTGCCGAAGGGTGAACAGCTCGACACGTGACTGGAATCCCAACCAGTTAAATATTCCGTTCAACAAGTGTTTAAAGAGATCGGCGCACCACTTGATCGCAACCTGGCCAAGATTTCGGCCTGCTGAAACATTTTAGAACGCTCGTACCAACTGTCGTTTATGGTGACACTTGGCCGACAATGATTTTCCGATGATCAAGCAATTTGTTCGAGTCGTGTCGAAGAAATCTCCGTACACTTTTCGAAACAGAATAACTTTTTATTTTGTTCGATCACTTCGATCGTCGGGCGATTTGTTCGAGTCAGTCGGAAAAGAGTACACCTTTTTAAACAGCATAACATTTTTCAAATTGACACAAATTGGTTTAAATGAGTTCAATTTCTCTGAGATGTTATAAGAATTAGTTTTGTTGTTCGTGTACAAGTTCTTCTTAAATAGAATAAAGAAAATGCTAAGGATCACCTTGCCAATTTTCTTATCTTTGCTTTCAATCAGCCATACCATTATGTAGATTAACAATTTCTTAAAAGACAAGGTTATATAATGTACATATCTGAACGTATCTTTACATCAGCCATACGATGCAATAAAAAGCTTATACGATTATACACAAATAAACATCGATAATCTTGCAAGCTTTGAAAAAGATGACCTTGCAAAAATATTTTTTTGCAACATAATGATAACATATTATTTAGGCGGAACAATTCCAACCAATTGTAATTGTTTCTCTAACCTCGCAAAAAAATTTAGATAGCCTGGCTATCATTTTTCGATTATTTTTCATTTTTGATTATAAAAAAGTTATTCCGTTTTAAAAGGCGTTCGAATACTTTCGTGTCTCAGTATATATCGTTACAATAATCGTAAAAACGAAATAACAAATAATTAAACGATGCATCGATAGTGTCCCCAGTTGTTCAAATATTTAAAAATTATTTACTTTCATCATAGTACAAGAAATATCACCGGTTAATTATAAAATAAGAAATAACTTCATGTATTATCGTTCTATTTTGTAACTACGTCAAATTTTTGGGGTTTGCAGAAATTTTCGGTGAATTGTGTTCAACATGAATATAGCATAGCTGTTCGAAACAATTTCGAAGTCCAAGACAATTAATCGAGTTACACCGAACTATGGTTATTGATTAAACTCTGCAGCGAAATGTGTTCACACCGCTGAAATGTAATAAAATGCATGCCATTAATTGTTTCGCCGATGAAGCGGCATTGATGTGTCTTAAAATGAAGTTTCCATTTATTATTCCATAGACGAAAATAAGGCATGCACAAGATATTACTCCTTATTCTAATTACTGTTTGTTAAATTAAAACACCAACGATACTCTATTATCACTTTTCTGAATTTTCACCACAATGGAAGCATTGTGAAAGGTACTCTGAAGATTGAAATGCCATTTTTTTTCGATCGTAGTCATTGACTTGTACAAGGTGTAAAAAGAAGGTTATGTCATGGCTATCATAAACGTATTTTGTACCTTTAGATTGATGGAGATCTGTTAAAGAAGCTTTCCACAAAAATAGCATTATCTATATTTTTTAACTATATTTTTATATTTTAACTATATTTTTCAAACTCAAATGAGGTAGATACTCCTATAAGATATCATTTTAAACAGTCAAGGTGACCTTGACTTTCTAATAGATTTTTCTGTTGGACTGTCGAATATGTGCTTGAAAAATCTTAGCGATAGTTATATACTACACCCTATATAACTTACTATAAATGATTATATATACTTAATATAAATAAATCGGAAAATGTTCAACATTAAATTAAATTATAACGAAATGTTTAGGATATATGATCCCTTCTGTAAGTATGCTCCTCTCGATGAATAAATTAGGATGCAGTCATAAAAAAATTTGAGTTTGAAAAATATGATCGAGAAGTCTTTTTAACAGATCCCTATCGATCTAAAGGTGTAGAATACGAAGACGAACGTCAAAATGAATTCAAATCGTTAGTCGTAATCTTCGAGAAAGAGCCTTCGTAAAAACTTCAGGACTTCGTTTAATTTACGGACTATACCCCGAAGATTTCGATTTCAGTTATGCGAAACCACTTTTCAATCTGATTTGAAAATCTTCTACCGGTCGCAGTCGTCGAACATTTTACAGTCTACAAATGTCCTTCCCGGTGATTTCCATGCGACCTTTCCGAGAGATTTTTAATCAGACTATAGTGATTGAACGGCTACATCTGAGGAGTAATAGTAGCAGATGACACCAACCTCACCAAGAAGAGATCAAAATGTTGAGTTTCATATCATTTCCATTTAAACTTGTTGAAATTGTAAACGTTCTATCGTAGGAAATAATTCCATCAATATTTCAATTCACAAGCATACGTTGTGATAAAAAACCGGTGAAAAGTCTAAACACTTAGATTCAGTTTTGTCGCCGTTGTGAAACAACGTTCAGTGTTACAAAATCCTGACGAAAATATTGAAATGTTGTGCTTACGTTGTATCATTTTTAAACAACAATATTTTCTTCGGTGTGTTGAAAATATCGGTTCTTATTTGCTACTTTTTTTAATGCGACTTTTCTCTGCAAGATTTTTCAAATGTAAAGAAACGTATAAATTAACAAGGGCTAACAGCATTTTTATTTTGTTTTCGTATGAGTAATCTTTTAGTGGACCAGCAAAACTTTTCTTTAATTATTATTTCAGTAAAATGAGAATTTGCACAAAAATTCGCATAGTCTAGTATTTAGAATCTAAAATATCATACTACTGTGTTAATACCATTCATCCATGAAAGGGTAAACTGCACTCGACTGAAACGAAATACGAGAAGATTAATCCCAGCAGTGAGATCCGATTTCAATGTGTATAATAACGAAATTACACAGATGTTCAATATTCTATAAAAATATCTAACTTCTGTTCACCTTAACGATTCTCTCAAAAATTAAATTACTGAAACAAAGAAAAAATTGATTCTTGATCTTTCAAATCACCCTCGATAAATGTAAATGTTCGCCGAATATTATCGTTTCCAGCATTCTAATAACAATTCTCCGAGTCCGATATGCGCGGTCGTATTACTGAATGTTGAAACACTTCAACGCTGCAACGTCGAATAACAATTTCGCGAAAAATCGATCAATTTCTCTATTATTGAAGCCTGCCATCGATCCTCGAATAATTATATCCTAATTTCCCTTTACCGCCTAATTTCGCGAATCCAGCACGGCAACGATGCGATTGATATAGAAAATATGAAAATATCGCATGCGTAGATTCGGAATTACACACATGTTCCTTCGAGTAACAATCCCGGTTCCGCATGCACGCTCATGGGTTTTGTTACAGTGGCGAGCATTCAGGGCCCGGAATTGGAAATAACACGTGTCACACGTCTCCACATGGGACCATACCTCTGCATAGCTTCGAATGGAGTGCCGCCATCAGTCAGCAAACGGATTGTTCTCATTGTTCATTGTAAGTAGACAAAACCAACAAATTCGACATTAATGCAGTCGCTGCCTCGGCGTCTAAGCGCCAATTCACATGGAAACAATCGCGTTTTAGGAGCGTATTGGTGCAAACACCTTCCGCAAGAACTGCGCGTTCGCGGTAACTCCGTTGCGATTTTAATTATGGGTCAGTTATGCTACTAGAACAATCATCAGTAGAACGTTATACAGGCATCGCGTGATTCCCCATAAAACAAACATAAATATGGAATAACTTTCTTTTGTCTCGGATTTAACTTTCGAGAAAATCAAGCTTGAAAATACGCTTGCGGCTATAGATGGTATAGTAAATTATATCATGAATAATATATTATTAATATATATTATTATATTATATTATTATATTATATTATATTATAATATTATATTATTATATTATATTATATTATAATATTATTATATTATATTATATTATATTATATTATATTATATTATATATATTATGAGCTACAAACAATATAATCAAATTTTTTATTTCTAGAAATAGTGTCACAGCTTCCTGTTTTTCTCATTTTTCACTCATTTTTCTCACAAATGCACAGAATCCGCAGTCTGGATATAATACTTTAGGATTTCTGATACTAGGTCAGGTTTTATAAAATTGGAAAGTGTACGTTTAAATATGTATTATTATAGTGAAATGTAGGAGATCCTCTCATAAAAGTTCTTTCGCAATTTCAAGAATGAAGAATGAAAAATATAAGACCAGTCGTATCGATTCGTCTGGCAGTTTCGAAATTAAAGATTAAACAATATTCCAAAATATCTTCATTCTTTAGTCAAGTCTACGTTAAATTCTTCAAATAATATATTATTCCGACATCTTAAATCTTAAATTATGTATAAATACGTGCTCGTATAGCCCATACAGAATATTATATGTTAAATAATAAATAATAATGTTAAATAATAATCTCCGTAATCAACTCGATAATTGAAATCATAAAGCAGCTTCAGACGGAAATTGTTGAATATATTTCTTTACTCAGACACAGCTTATTATAAAAGTCGTGCAAAATTTAAATAAAACTTAATCTCATCAGGCAATGTTAGGTCTCGGTACGCTTAATGTTCAATTCCATCGAATTTTTTACGGGTGCAAGAAACTAATACACGCTTTAACTAATTACGCTTTAACTCCTTACTGTACTTTAACGAGTCTGGCTCGTGATGGAATTTAATATTAAATATGAATGTTATGTTTAATGTTTGGACAGTTCAGAAGCCAGTCAATATAAGTTAACTTCTCTATGAAAATTAGTTACGTAGTGCAAACACATCTTTACCATAGGATCTTTCGGTCAATGAGTCAATATAGTCGATTTCTTTGTAAGTAAACCACGGAATATATATATTAACCACGGAATAACGAAACAAAATAAAAAAAATTAAATAAAATAATTAAATAGTGATATCAATTTTAATATTAATTGTAATAATATTGTGCTAATATTAATTATAATAAATCTCCCCTATATAGGGGAGACAGGAAGTTCTGATTTTCAGAGACCATAAAAATTGACTAAGAAATCATGCAGTTACTTTTTTCGTTTCTGACTAATTTACTGTTAAATTTATTCTGCTTTAAGATTGTCAACCCAAATTTAATATATTACAATAAATTTCTCATAGAAACTCGTTTTTTTCTTTACTAAGAAATAAATGTTACTTTCTAATGAGATATTTTTATTATATTCAATTATAGCTACCAGATGTCCACCATTTCGATGTCGAATGCTTCGTATTCAGGCATATAAATAATAAGAAAGACTGTTTATTGGACGCAGATAGAAATTAGTCTGAGAGAAAATGTCATAAATAGCTGAGACATCGCCGCGACAGGCACCGTCCATCATAATCTGGTTTGGCTGTGACTAGCATTGTCCGTCACACGATGCGAAAAGGTCAAGCGAACAAGTTAAAATTTTACAAAAAAAACCTATAATATGTTTAATAAAAAAAGAAATAGACATGAAGAAGGTCCCGAAGAGTCGTGGAGCGACGCGGAATCGTCGCCATTGGAACGAGAAGCCGTCCGTATTGTTAAGTTTTCAATCGAACAATCGTCGAGCGATGTTCATGATTCCGTAACGAAGTGAATCTGTCGGGCACGCTAACAACCTAAGCGCGCGAAGAATTTCTGTTAGGGTGTAGGGTAGTACCATACACACGCGTGCTCGAAAATGCAATTTGAAGTTTCACAACCGTGGCCGTGGATCTCTCGCGAAAGCATACCATAATGACGCCACTTGGGACATCGTGAATGGCAGATGTAGGGGGCCCATTGTCTCCGGAACTGAAGTAGCGCCTTAAATATTTTCTGCCGGCGGCGAACCTACGCTATCACGAGCCGACCTGTCGACACTGCCACAGATTGATTAAAACAAGGATCCACGAAGTGCACGCTTTCGGCTGTAATTTCGTTGGTCCGTTCCCACGAATCGGTTATTCTTTCCTCTCGCCATCAACCACGGTTTTATGCACGGATTCTTACCGTTTTGAATGGACTGATTTATACTTCCTGTATTAACTTTTTTAACAGAACTTTCTATTTAGAATGTAAACCGTTTCGTACGTAGATTTCAATGAGAACGATGAAGAGATGGAAGTTTTACCGTGAATTGAACTTGTTAAATATAGAATATTTTCGTATAATGTGGACAGAACATTGTGCTACGAACTAAATACTATTCAATGGACAGTACTATAACAATATTAAATCGTTGTGACAGTTAAATTGATACAGTGAGTATGTTGTGTATACTACTGATGAAGATTATTTGCAGCTTTTTTTAGAATTTACGTTAGAATTTTGATGATCCAGATTACAAAGTATCCGTTTTATGAGAGCACTTTTTAAAGAAATTCCAAGTAGCTAATGTTTCTGAAAATTGTTTACACCAGACTCTTGTTTCTATAAATTCGAAGTATGATTTGATTTTTGATCATGTTAAAATTTAATGCACGTTCTACATGTATCTGTCTTCCAAAATTCACATTCGTAATTTATAT